GCACTCCCACTCGACCCGATACCAGTAAGTCCCCAACTACCCAGGAAAATCAACGCTCCCCCCCTTGCTGCGCGCCTTTGGACTCGCAGCCCTCGTCAGCCCGCCGGGCAGAGCTATTCAGCGCCCTGCCTGGAACAAAGAGCCACAGAGGACCCCATTGCCTTGTCTGAGCTGCTGCCCTTGTTTTGTCGGTCCCCCCACCGCCAAGCTCCCGACCAGGAGGACTGCTGTTGTTGGGAGGTTGACGGTGACCCATCACCAGAAGCAGCACCAGGTGAGTCTGCTCCTGCTGCTGCGACAGCACCAGAGGAATCACCTGAGGATTCCCCTGTGCCTTCAGCAGAGCTCTGCGCCGAGAGTCTCCCGCTCTGGATGTTTTCTCCGCCTCTCCAGCCGCCCAACCACGGCCGTAATACCCTCACTGGACCACTGCTAGGGAGGAACTCTCACTACGAGGCGAGTTGGGATCAGACGCAGAAGCTGCACCCTCAGGTTCGTCTGTGCTGCTCTCAGGCCCGGATTCAGACGTGCCCAGCCCGGTCCCCCCTGCTGATCCGGACGTTGCTGCGCCTCTCCAGCCGGCCCAGTAATGATGAGCCCGTGCTCGCGCCTGTAGCAGCAACTGCTGGTGGTGCTGCATCTTTTGGTGCGTCCTTCTGGTACGCCTGCTACTGGTGTGTCTGCTGCTGTGTCTCCTGCTGCTGCTGCCGTCGGTGCGTCTGCTGCTGCTGTTTTCAGCTGGTGAGCAGCAACTGGTGCTGCTTCTGCTGGGATATGGACTTCAGGCACCTCCACTCTCACAGGCTCAGAATTGGTTCCTGCTGCGTCTTCTGCTCCTGGAGCAGGATCAATCGGCGCTGTCAGCAGCAGCCGTGGCAACTGCAGCTGTATCATCATCACCATCATCTGAAGCAGCAGTGGAGGCATGGGCTGCAAGACGTCGACAAGCAGCTGCAAAGGCGGATGGAGCAGCAGCACCGGCAGCAGCAGTACCGGTGATGTTAGCACAGCACTGGTTTCGGTGGTTTTCGGTGGTTTGGGTGGTCTGGTGGTCCTGAATGGTTTTGCTGGTTTGCGTGGTTTGCATGGTTTGGATGGTTTCGGTGGTTCTGAAGTGGTTTGGGTGGTTTGGTCCAATGACCGCTGCAGAATGGTTTCTGTTCAGTTGACTGGCGACGCTGCTCTTGGGGTGGCTGGGGGAAGCACCACCTGTCAGGAACAATCGGGTAGCATTGGAGGGAGGTTTATGCAGGTGCCCACAGTCCAAGAATCGGGAGCAAAAAAAAATAGCACCCTTGCCCTAACCCACCTGGACGCAAGGCGGCAGGCTTCGCAATCCGCAGAACAAGACAAACTTCGCCGACCCCAGCGCCGTCCTTGTCCTTGATTTGATACCAGCGCACCACTGTGCCGCCCTGCAGCTGATCTGCCACGTCAACATCACACGTGGCCAGCACCTCGTCTCCCGTGTCAGGTGAGGTAATTGCTATCTGTGTGAGTGGTCGGGAGAGCAAGAGGAGCGGGAGAGGGGAGCTGAGAAGCTTGGTTTCTGGAAAGCGCCTCAGATTACACCTGGCCAGCGCCTCGTCTCCCGTGTGAGGTGAGCTGATTGCTATCTCTGTGCGTGGGAGAGGGAGAGGGAGGGGGAGGGGGAGAGGGCGCAGAGATTCTTTCATGAAGTGCCAGCAGAAAAGCTCGATTTGTTAAGCGCATCAAATCACACCTGGCCAGCAACTCCTCAAACTGTCTAGCGAGCTAGCTACGTGATAAAAGTGTAGTTTTGAGACGTCTCAAGGTGACTTTTGGGACGACTCAAAAGTCACCTCGTTGTTTTGAGACGTTTCAAAACTACACTTTTATCACTTGGTTTGTGAAGCGCATCAAATTACACCTGGCCAGCACCTCCTCGAACTGTCCCGCGAGCTAAACCAGAATCACCTTTCCTGGGTAATTTACCCTGAAGGCACAACACAGAACACAAGGTTGAGATATGAATTCCCAGTCCAAGCATAAGTCAATATGACGCACAGGACACAAGGTTGAGACATGACTTCTCAGTCCAAGGAGAAGTCATTATGACGCACAGGTCACACAGTTGAGATATGAGACAGAGAACGGATCTGACCTGGAGAACGACGTCGCCTGGCTGCGGCAGGGAAGCACCAGGCGAGTAGTCCAGAGGAATCTTAAAGTCCTGGAAGCCACTTGGGAGCCGCTCCCGTCTTCTCTGCTGTCTTCACCTGCATCAGGTGCATTTTAGAACGGAGCGATTGAGGGCGTTTTTTAAACGGAGTCAAGAATTCTTTGCAGATGTCTTCACCTGTGTCAACGTGCGCAATAGGAGGGAGACCCATATCTCGAGCTAGCCGAGCCAAGCATGCGAATGCATAATTGCAACTACATCGAAAAGACGCGAAAGAAATGGGAAGTTTTGCACGCCAAAGGACCGCTCGAGACATGGGTCTGCATCCTGAAAGTCTACTTTGAAAAGACGCGAGAGAATTCTGATTTTAGCCACTCCGTCTCAGACGCACAACATTGGTCGTTTCAAAAAGAGCAACCGATGGAACAGATAAATAAAATTTGCGCGATGTTTGACTGTTCCGGTACGAGGAATTGTGGTTGTTGTGAATATCCATCACGGTGCTACATCGTGCGAGGCCACGCGACTGGTACTAAAAATATTTCTTACCTTATTTTTTATCTCGCAAATTATGACTGACTCGGGCAATGTGCCATGCTCTACATGGTCGGAAGCAAAGCTAATTAATTGGCGGGAACTAAGTACCTGGTTTTTTCCCTGAGAGAGCGACACCGTGGCTCCGCCTTTGTCCTGCACGCCGCCTGGAAGCTGCAAGTTCCGGCCCTGAACCACTGACACTTGCAGCACGGTCGCGTCGGGGGAAGGCGACGGGGAGTCGGCCCCATTGATTGCGAACATTGTCCTTCAATGAAGTTGAAGGGAAATTTCAGTGCTTCCCACGGAGATAACGGGAAGAGAGCAGCCAGCTCGGTTAGGCCGACTGACTGCTCCTCCGAACAAGGTTTTCCGTGCCTTGGAGCCGCGTACTGCCGAGCAAATCGTTCAGAAGTCTAGAAAAAAGCCTCCTCTAAAACAGGGTCTATTTCTCCAAGCGAAACTTCTAGTCACTTGTGGCTGTATTGCAGCGCAAGTCGTGAAGGCATACGTCACAGGCGCCTGATTATATTATTATGCGGCCGGATGCTACACGGGAAATAAGTTACGTCGCTGGGAGCGAAGACGGAGCGGCAGCATTGAAACGCATCGAAAACGCGAAAGTAGTCTAAGCGAGCGGGGCTAAAAGCGATGCGATGCGAGTCGTATGGGAGCGGAAGAATGGATTAGAGGGCAGGCGGCTCGAAAGCAGACTATCATATGATGTAACGAGGATCTATTAACCTCTTAAGTAACCATCAGATACATCGAGTGATTTTTGTCGAGAAGTAGCACATCTCACGGACAAAAAACCAACTCTGTTAACGATGCATTCTGGAAGCTGAAGAGGAGTGGGAGTCACGAAAGGCGAACGTTTAGAATAAGCAATCAATGACTGACGTTCTATTCGATAGCCCTCAGCGAAGATAGCGGCCGAGGTTTCTTGTTGTATTGCCTACAACGCAAAACAAGCATCCATGTTTGAATGAAGGAGAATGGTGGATGGAAGAACAACAACAGCAGGACAAAATCTTTCTTCTTCGCCATCCCTGATAGGCCGGCGAAATGGATGAGAGGGTGAAGGGGGGGGTGACACAGCTGAATGGTGGACAGTGGAGACAACACAACTGGAGATGGATGTTCCCTTGGTTTGGGTGCTTGCTGCGCTGACGTGTCCGCGTTTGAGTGAGCGAAATCCCTCCAATCTTGACGGGCCGAGCCGCGAATGTCATCCATGAAACCCAATCCCAAGGTCCCGCCCCCTGACGCGGCGCAGGGACATTGCGGCGGGTGGAATCTGTCTCGAGAGACTGGTTCGTCCCATACCCAAACCATATGCCCGCGGCTTGGACTGTGGTTGGGACTGTGGACGGGAGAGGAAATACCCCTCTAACAACATTCCCTCTGTGCTGTAAGGTAAATGATAGTACAGTCGACCAAAGTGGGGATGGTTGAGGTATCTCATGCGCCAAATTTACCCCGTTATTGTCACGTAAGGAAAAACCCCGCGAAACATTTTGTAATGCTGTATCAGCCAATCACAGCCTCCCTGACAACACAAACGAGAGCGACAGCGAGGGCCGAACGAAACTGGTCAGGCGAACACCACAGAGAACATTTTTCGACGGTTTAGATCGCTCGTGGTTTCAGCTTCCGACGATGTTGCGGCTAGTGTTGCCTCGGTCGGCACATGCCTAGAGTTCCTCGCAAACAGTAGCACGTGTATGACTGAAGTGGAAGACTCTCTAGAAGGTCGGTGTGACGGGGAACAAACAACGTCCACTCTGCTTGATTCTCAATTTAACCACGATTTAAATCGATGCGTTACGGTCTAGAGTAGCAACGAGCGAGGAACCTCTTGCTGTAGCTTACGTGGTAGGTATACTGGAAGAGCATGGAAACGTTTCGTGACACTTGGCACCGAATCGTGCTGTTTTGAAAACCTCTAAAAGCTTTGGAAACCGTATTACAACCCGTTCTGACACCCATAGATCCCAAAATGCTCAACTTCTATCTGGTTCCCTCTTCCAGACTAATCTATTCCTCCTCCAGGCAGGCTCTGGCCTGAAGCCATGGCTCCTGAGCATTTGCGAGCAGCAGAGAATATCTCCGCGGGTAGTCGTGGTCTCACTAGAGATCTGCTTTGTTCATGGTAATGCCAAACTAACTCGCTGGTTTTCCTTCTTCCTGTAGTTGTTAATCAAGCGTCCCGAGTCCAAACAGGAGAATCGCATTAGCAGAGGAATCGACCGTTTCTAGTTACTATTTCTAAGGTTTGGCGCGCAAAATAAGGTCTTTCCTTCGATTGGCGATCCGATCCATAATGGCGTCCGCGGAGGAACTAAAGGCGGAAAACACCCGCCTTCAAGCGGAGATGCAGTCCATGAAAAAGAAGATTGTTTTAGCTCTCAAAAAGCAGCAGGCGGAGCTTCAATCTAAAGTCCAAGAGGCCGAACGAGTCCGGGACGAGGCTTTAAAGCGAGCCGAAGCCGCGGAATCAGGAGCTTCAAACGGAGATGCATCTAAAGGAGCGGATCCGGCGGCGCTGCAGCAGCTGCAGGACCAACTGAATGCGTCTCAGCAGGAACTGAAAATGCTAAGAGAAGAGTACGTGGTTGCGAGCGAGAAGGTCAAGGCTGCTGAAGACCAGACCAGATCAGCGGAGGAGGAGAGAAAGAAAGCCATGGACGGCGCGAATGCGGCTCAGAAGAGCCTTCGCGCGTCGAAAGAGGAGGTCCAGATGGTCCGCGAGCAATGGACGGCGGCGCAAGGCGCGCTGATGACCACTCAGGAGGAGCTTACGAGTCTGCAGGAGCAGCTGCGGAAAGCGCAGGGGGAGGCGCGGGAGGCGCAGGAAGGGCGCGCGGCGGCGCAGCACGCGCTGCAGGCGCTGGGGGAGCGGGTGAAGGCGGCGGAGGCGGAGAAGCGGAGTGATCAGGCGGAGCAGCGGCGCGCGCAGGAGGTGGTGGCGCGCGCGGAGCAGCAGCTGAAAGCCGCGCAGGCGGAGCGCGAGAAGGCGATGGAGGCTTTGAGTGCTGCGCGGAGAGAGCTGGAGGGGTCTCGGGCAGACGGGGAAAAGATGGCCGGGCAGCTGAAAGCAATTCATGTGGAATTGGAAGCTTCGAAGGAAGATGGGAGCAAGTTGCAGGCGCTGGTTGCGGACTTGCAGAGGAAGCTTCCTGTAGTGGAGCAGGAAAAGGAAGGGCTGAGGGGGGATAAGGAGAAGTTGGAATCGGAGATTAAGGCGCTAAGTGATGAGCTCGAGGGTCTGCGACACGGCAAGGAAGCTTCGCTGGAAGATCTGCGCGCGCAAGTCGAAAGTTCCAGGAAGGAGCTGGGGGAAGTCAAATCGGAGCTAGAAAAGGCGAGGGAGGAGGCTGGAAAGGCCCAGTGTGAGGCGACGAACAAGGGCGCGCAGGTGGAGGAGTTGCTTCAGGCGCAGACGGTGCTTCAGGGGGAGGTTGAGAAGGCCAAGGCAGCGGAAGCAGAGGCGCAGGAAGAACTGGGGAAGGTGCGATGCGAGGCGACGAACAAGGGCGCGCAGTTGGAGGAGCTGCTTCAGGCGCAGACGGCGCTTCAGGGGGAGATTGAGAAGGCCAAGGCAGCGGCAGCAGAGGCGCAGGAAGAACTGGGGAAGGTGCGATGCGAGGCGACGAACAAGGGCGCGCAGGCAGAGGAGCTGCTTCAGGCGCAGGCGGCGCTGACAGGGCAGGTGGAAGAGGCGAAGGCCGCAGCAGCTAAAGCAGCTGCGGCGGCAGCAGATGCAGAGGCGGCTCTTCAAGCGCAGCTGGCAGAAGCGAAGAAAGAAGTTGCCAGGTGGGTTGCTAGTAACGAAGTTAAAAAAGCAAAAGCAAAGTTGACTAGGGCTCCAGAGACCTCACAGCTCAGTGCTAGATTTTCAAACGTCTCGATGCCAGGTAAAAGTTTTATTAACCAACCATCCCTAATGATGATTGAGTTTTGACGTCTCAGAACTCGCCTCGTGGGCTTCTGAGTGTCTGATCTTATGGTGAGCGAGACTGTGTTGATGCGTAATGGATGATCATCGACGTTTCATTGTAACACGCCTTTTTCGCTCCCTCTCTTCCGGCTGTATCATGTGTGTCTTTGCCGCGGCAGCCTTACCTCACAGCTGAAGGGCATGCGAGGGGCCATGGATCACGTGCAGAAGGCTGCTTCGGAGACAGAGGAGGTAAGTGAGGTGTGGGCATGAGTAAGAAGAGGTATGCGAGGGCATGCGAGATGCCTCAAGAGCTGACGGGCATGCGAGGGGCCATGGATCACGTGCAGAAGGCTGCATCGGAGACAGAGGAGGTACGTGAGAGGTGTGGTGTGGGCATGAGTCATAGGTACAGTGGGATTAGTAATTTCTTGAGGCGCCTCAGAAATAGAGGGGCATGCAAGGGGCCGTGGATCATGTGCAGAAGGCTGCATCGGAGATAGAGGAGGTACGTGAGAGGTGTGGTGTGGGCATGCGCCCAGCTGCAGGGTTTTTTTTAGAATTCTCAAAAAAACTCTGCAGCACCGTGGGCATGCGCCCAGCTGGATCTCCCCAAGCTGCTGTGCCTTCATTGCATTGCATGCCTGTTATCCAAACTCAAGCACATTCAAACAAACACTTTTACGTCCCTTCCATAATATCACAATTGAATGCTCTTTATTGGATCAATCCCTTTCAACCAAACCAGAGCATCCAGAAAGAGCTGGCAGATCTCGCCGCCAAGTCAGATTCCCTCAAAGACCAGCTGGCAGCCGCGCAGGCTGAGCTGGCATCGGCCAAATCCTCGCTGGAGAAGGAGATTCATTCGAGAGAGGCAGCGCAGAGAGAAGCAGAGGAGGCTCGAGCGGCGTTGGACTCTTTCCAGGAAAGTGCCGGGAAGGAGCAGCAGCAGGCTGGGGAGCTGTGGCAGCAGCTTCTAGACACGCGGAAGCAGGTTGCAGCAGAGACGGATAGGGCTGATGGGAGCGAGAAAGAGGCGGAGGGATTGAGGAAGAGGGTTGAGGGGTTGGAAAAGGTGGTTGAGGAGAAGGAGAAGGAAGGAGAGGCTGTGAGGGGGGAGCTGGAGGGAGTGAGGGGTAGGTTAGGGGAGGTGGAGGGGAGGGTGAAGGAGTTGGGGGAGGAAGTTGCTGTGAAGGAGGAGGAGGTGGGTGGGCTGAGGAGAAAGTTGGAGGTTGCATTGAAAGCAGCTGAGGAGGCGAAGGAGGAGGGTGAGAAGGTAAGGAAAGTGGCTGAGGAGCTAAAGAAGGAGATGGATGCGTTAGTAGGGGCGAAGGAGGCGGAGATTAAAGCCAAGGAGAAGGAGATTCAGGGGCTAAAGGAGAAGCTGGAGCAAGCGGTAGCAGAGAAGGGATCAGGCGAGGCGGAGGCTGCTAAGATGGGCGAAGACAGGAAGGCGTTAGAGGGCCGGGTGGCGGAGCTTCAAGGGGAGCTGGAGAAGGCGAAAGCGGAGGTGGAGAGCGGTAAAGAGGAGTTGGAGAGGGTTAAAGGGGAAGCAGAGAAAGCACAAGGGGAGGCAGAGAGTGTTAAAGGGGAACTCGAGAGGGTGAAAGAGGAGGCAGAGAGAGCGAAAGGGGAGGTGGAAAAGGGTGTGGTTGAAGTGGAGGAGGCGAGAGGCGCGCTTAAGGCAGCAGAGGAGAGGGTGAAAGAATTGGAGGTGAAGGAGGGAGAGTGGGAGGGGCGAGAGGCTGAGTTGAGGAAGAAACTGGAAACAGCAGAGGCGGAGTTAGCTGCTGCTAAGGCTGAAGCCGCAGCAGCAGGGGCAGAGGCGGCAGGGGCAGCGGCAGCAGGGGCTGTGGCAGGAGAGGCGCGAGTGGGAGAGCTGGAAGAGGCGTTGAAAGCGGTGAAGAGGGAGAAGGAGCGGTTGGAGGAGGAGTTGGAGGAGGCGTTGGGGAAGGTGAGGGAAGCGGAGAGGAAGAGCGAGCAGGTACAGGCAGAGATCAAAGCAGAGCTGCAGGGGATGAGGGAGAAGAGCGAAAAGGAGTGCGCAGAGAGGGCGGATGGAGAGAAGAGAGTGACTGAGCTCACTGCTGAGTTGGAAGGGGTGAAAGCAAGGGTAGAAGCAGCAGAGCTAGAGGCAGGGAGGATGAGGGAGGAGGCGGAGAGGGGGAGGGAACAGCTGGCAATGTCGGGCGGTGCGCAGGCTGAGGAGCTGGCGAAGGTGAATGCTGAGCTGGCGACGGCAAACGCTGAGCTGGCGCGGGTGTCGGGTGAGCTGGCGCAGGCTGCAGCTGCCCGTGTGGCGGCGGAGGAGGCGGCTGCCAGAGTGGCGGGCGCTGCAGGGGAGGCGATGGGGAAGGCTGAGTCAGCAGAGAGTGAGCTGGCGACAGGTAAGAAGGGTTTGTCCACTTGTGAGAAATTTCAAAAGCTGGTGACAGGTAAAAACACGCTCATCATAATCACACCTGCTGCTTTATCAGTATCATATCATGCCAGTTCCTTTATTACTCCGTTTCCTTCTCTTACTGTCTCGATCATCTGGTTTGCACATCCGGTGTTTATTGCCTGTGCTTGGCCAAAAGTGTCATGCCACAAGCGTCACTACTGGCTCTTGGGACATTTTCCAAAGAGCAGATCTTGGGACATGAAAAATGTCCCCAAGACCAACATCCGGTGTTTATTGCCTGTGCTTGGCCAAAGGTGTTGTGTCATGCCACAAGCGTCAGTACTGGCTCTTCCCTTCTGACTCGCTTTTCATGGTGTGATGTGTTCCGTGCACCATTCGGTGTGGTGCTGTGTGGTGTGGTGCGGTGTGGTGCGGTGCAGTGCGCAGCAAGCTGGAGGCAGAGGTGAAGGCAGCGGAGGACAAGTATGCGGAGCTGGACAGCAAGTTCAACCGCCTGCAGAAGCGCGCCAAGCAGAGAATCCAGGAAGTGACCAAGGTATGTATGGATCACCAGGGTATGGAATATCTGAGGATATAGGTGGGAAAGGACAAGTATGCGGAGCTGGACAGCAAGTTCAACCGCCTGCAGAAGCGCGCCAAGCAGAGAATCCAGGAAGTCACAAAGGTATGGAATGCACAGATGTGATGTGATGTGATGTGATGTGATGTGATGTGATGTGATGTGATGTGATGTGATGTGATGTGATGTGATGTGATGTGATGTGATGTGATGTGATGTGATGCGATGTTACGCACCAGGGTTGAGGCAGTAGGATGTGTGAATTGAGTAAGCCTGGTACCTAGGCAAGGCGGCAGGGTAAGGGGCAGGGGCAGAGTTGTCTCTGAAACCTCCCATCTCCTTCTCCCCGTCCCGCTCCCTGTTCTCCATGCACCCGGTCTCCCCTCCTCCCCGCAGGAGAAGGAGGAGGCAGAGAGGAAGCTGGCAGAGGAGAGGAAGCAGCAGGCAGCTCTGCAGGAGGATCTGGAGAGAGCCAAGGGGGTGGCTGCAGAGGGGCCGTCCCATCCCCTTGCCCCATACCCCGTTCCCTGCTGTTCTCCCCTCACCTTGCAGGAGAAGGAGGAGGCAGAGAGGAAGCTGGGTGAGGAGAGGAAGCAGCAGGCGGCGCTGCAGGAGGGCCTGAAGAGAGCCAAGGAGATGGCTGCAGAGGGCCCCTCTCATCACCTTGACCCCAACCCGTTCCCTGTTTTCCACCCAATCCCCTGTCTGCCACACCTTGCAGGAGAAAGAGGAGGCAGAGAGAAAGCTGGCAGAGGAGAGGAAGCAACAGGCGGCTCTGCAGGAGGATTTGGAGAGAGCCAAGGGGGTGGCTGCAGAGGTACCTCTGAATTCTCCCATCCCCTTTCCCTTCCTCTGATAAATTCCCACCCCCTCTACTCACCCCATTCTCCCAACTCCCCGCAGGAGAAGGAGGAGGCAGAGCGGAAGCTGGGTGAGGAGAGGAAGCAGCAAGCGGCGTTGCAGGAGGATCTGGAGAGAGCCAAGGGGGTGGCTGCAGAGGCGCAGCGGACGGCCGAGAAGGACAAGGATCAGCTGCGGAAGACCAACGCGTCGTGAGTGCCTCGATGCTTGGGTCTATTCTTTGGTATGTCGAGATGGATGCTTGTAAGTTCCAGTATTCTCAGGGGCTTTTCATAACCTGAAGGAGTCACGTAGGCTGGCAGCGGGCAAGGAGCAGGCGTGGCTGGAGCTGTCAAGCTCAGCGCAGGAGGAGCGCTGAACCCAAAAATTTGAACTCTGAACCCTGCTCTCCCTTCCCCAGGCTTAAAGTAGAAGTGGACGAGCTGAGGCGGGCCTTGGAACTAAAGGAGCACAATCTGAAGGAGTCACGCAGGCTGGCAGCAGGCAAGGAGCAGGCGTGGCTGGAGTGGAGCTGTCGAGCTCAGCGCAGGAGGAGCGTTGAACCTTGAACCTTGAACCCTGAACCCTACTCTCCCTTCCCCAGGCTTAAAGAAGAAGTGGACGAGCTGAGGCGGGCCTTGGAACTGAAGGAGCACAATCTGAAGGAGTCGCGCAGGCTGGCAGCAGGCAAGGAGCAGGCGTGGCTGGAGCTGTCGAGCTCAGCACAGGAGGAGCGGGAGCGCATGGCAGGGGCAGTGAAGGAGGTGGAGGAGCGAATGGAGCGGATGGGGAAGGAGCAGGAGGCGCGCGCGGCTGAGCTGCAGAGGGAGCTGAATAAAGCACTGGAGAGCAGCAGTGCGCTGCAGGTAAGGGCAGTGGCGTTCCTGGTTAGGGTAACCGCGTGTTACGGGTTAGCGTAACCAGTTGTAGGGTCTGAAGGCTGCAGGAGGCACGGGCGGCGGAGATGCAGAGGGAGTTGAATAAAGCACTCGAGAGCAGCAGTGCGCTGCAGGTGAGGACACTTTGCTGCTGCAGGTGAGAGATAGGAATGTGCTGCATAAGGCGTTGATGGGGAAGGAGAAGGAGGCACGGGCGGCGGAGATGCAGAGGGAGCTGAATAAAGCACTGGAGAGCAGCAGTGCGCTGCAGGTGAGAGCACTGGTGTTCTGGTTAGGGTAACCGCTAAGGAGCAGGAGGGGCAGGCGGCTGAGCTGTAGAGGGAGCGCAATAAGGCACTGGAGAGTAGCAGTGCGCTGCAGGTGGGAATTGCAAGCAGTGGTGTTACAGGGTTGTTACCCTGTAACCGCTGTAAACAACCCCCTGTCCCACTTTCTCCACCCTCACCCACTTCTCCCACCCCCGCAGGTCCAGCTGTCGCAGAAGGAGCGCCAGCTGGCAGAGGTGGAGGCCGCCACGTCAGGCGAGCTGGCGCGGCTGTCGGCCACTCTGGAGGCGACACGTGGCGAGCTGCACCGGCTGGAGCAGAAGCTGCAGGAGGAGCGGAGCGGGTGGGAGGAGACGGTGGGGCAGCTGAAGAGGCGGGTGGAGGGGATGGAGAGGGGGAAGCGCATGCAGGAGGTGGCGTTGCAGGAGGCGAAGGGGGCGTGGCAGCAGGAGGTGGAGGGGCAGAAGAAGGCCGTTGCTGCCGCCCTGGCGGACCTGGCTGCTGCTCAGGCAGAGGTGAGTCAAGCAGGGGGGGGTGGGGGGGTTGGGAGTGGGGTTGGCTGTAATGTGGTGAGACTGTGAGGAGTGGGGCGGGTGGGAGAAGAGACTGAGAAGGACGGCTGGGAGGAGACGGTGGGGCAGCTGAAGAGGCGGGTGGAGGGGATGGAGAGGGGAAGAGGATGCAGGAGGTGGCGTTGCAGGAGGCGAAGGGGGCGTGGCAGCAGGAGGTGGAGGGGCAGAAGAAGGCCGTTGCTGCTGCTCTGGCGGATTTAGCTGCTGCACAGGCGGAGGTGAGGAAGGGTGGAGGCCTTTGGAATAGTTGGTACCTCCGACAGGAGGTGGAGGGTCAGAAGACGGCCGTTGCTGCTGCACCTGCCTGCCTATGCCATGCCATGCCATGCCATGCCATTCCATGCAGCAGCATGGTGTTCCCTCCCGTGTCTATCTCTTTGCAACATCTCAAATTCTTCGCCATACCACCTCATGCCACCTTTCGCCACGTCATGCCATGTCATGCCATGTCATGCCAGGTGGCGAAGGGGCGTGATGAGCTGGCGGCGTACAAGGTGCGGGCGGCAGCGATGCTGAAGAAGAAGCAGGAGGAGCTGGAGGCGGTGGGGAACGCGGATGCCATGGCGAGCAAGGAAGAGGCAATCCAGGTGAGTGTGTGGTATGATGGCGAGAGGGAGACGTGACATGAGAGGGAGGGATGAAAGTGGGAGGAGGGGCTTGAAGCGGTGGGGAACGCAGATGTCATGGCTAGCAAGGAAGAAGAGATCAAGGTGGGTGTGGGAGTGAGTGTGGGGGACTGAATGTGGGAATGAATGTGGAGTTTAGATGGATATTACGTTTGTGCTTGCATACGTTTTTACGGTTACGTTAATGTGCGTTTTTACATTTATAACCTGTTCGTCCTGAATTTGCAGATACCGTACTTAGCATCCACATTAGGTCTCAATATCTGGGACGTTTATCATGTAGTTTGCCTTTCCCGTCTCCTGCCTCCTTCACCACCTGCCTCTGTCCACGCATCACAGGAGGCGAAGCGGGCAAAGGCAGCAGCAGTGGCGGAGAGGGACAGAGCGCTCAAGGCTTTGGAGGATGCTGCTGTGGACCATGAGACGCAGATGGCAGCGCGGTGAGATGCGGTGGAGATGGGTCTAATGTGGTGTGCATGTGTGTACATAGGACCATGAGACACAGATGGCAGCGCGGTGAATGAAGCGTGCACAAACAAGGCACAATCCATGTGGTGGCAGTGGGCTGTGTGAGAGAAAGGTGCTGTGCATGTGTGTACATAGAAGGGACGGGATGGGATGGGACGGGATGGGATGGAATGGGATGGGATGGGATTGGATGGGATGGGATGGGATGGGATGGGATGGGATGGGATGGGATGGGATGGGATGGGATGGGATGGGATGGGATGGGATGGGATGGGATGGGATGGGATGGGATGGGGTGGGGTGGGGTGGGGATGGGATGGGATGGGATGGGATGGGATGGGATGGGATGGGATGGGATGGGATGGGGGATGGGATGGGATGGGGTGGGGTGGGGTGGGGTGGGGTGGGGTGGGGTGGGTGGGATGGGATGGGATGGGATGGGATGGGATGGGATGGGATGGGATGGGATGGGTTGGGGATGGGATGGGATGGGATGGGATGGGGTGGGGTGGGGTGGGGTGGGGGGGGTGGGATGGGATGGGATGGGATGGGATGGGATGGGATGGGATGGGATGGGATGGGATGGGGTGGGGTGGGGTGGGATGGGATGGGATGGGATGGGATGGGATGGGATGGGATGGGATGGGATGGGATGGGTTGGTTTGGTATGGCATGGCATGGCATGGCATGGGGTGGGGTGGGGTGGGGTGGGGTGGGATGGGATGAGATGGGATGGGATGGAACATGATGGTTTAGATGGGTGTGACGGGTGCAAGGCAGTGTGGGAGCAGAGCGGTGCTGTCACAGCTGAGGCGCCTCACAAGTGTTCCCACATTCTGAGATTTCTCAAAAGTGTCCAAACGTCTACCTCTTTGAAAACAGGAATGTTGCATTGATGGAAGCAGAGTCCAAGGAGCGAGAGCTGACGGGCAGGCTGGAGGCAGTGGGGTAGTAGAGGCCTCTGCTGGAGCAGAGGCTGGGGCAGTGAGGCACCAACCCTTTCCTAGCCTCCCTCCCTTCTCTTCCCTTGCAACCTTATCAGGCAGAAACGTGGCTGAAGCTGTAAGAAACAGGATTTGAGATTGTGAAGATGAGACTGCTAGGCTTCGGATTTGTACGGAGGTTGCTTGTCTCCTCGGCTCGGCTCACGTACAAATCGAAGCCTAGCAGTTTTATTTTCAGAGTCTCAAATCCAGTTTTTTACAGTTCACTTTTTCTAAGCGGCTTGCCTGCAAGGTCGGGGCTCTAGCAGCTGTATTCCGTTTCTTATTTCTGTTCCTTTTTACGTGTCTCTGATGCATGCGGAATCAAAAATCCGAGAGCCAACAGGCAGGCTGGAGGCGGTGTGGCAGCAGAGCGGTCACATAAGCAGTGCCACTGACCCCCCATACCCCCCCCCAAATCTTCCCACCACCTCCCTCCCCGTCACCTGTATTACACAGTAACGTGGCATTGATGGAAGCGGAAACGAAGATACGGGAGCTGACGGGCAGGCTGGAGGCGGTGCGGCAGCAGAGCCGGGCAGCGCAGGAGGAGATGCACGGGCGGATGATGGACCTGGAAGACGGGTGGCGCGGTGAGTTGATAAGAGGGGGCAAGGGTGGGCGGGCTAGTTGGGGGATTGATGGTAGAGTATAGAACAGCACAGGGTGGGTAGACAGCAGGGCAGAGCGGGAGGAGATGCATGGGCGGATGATGGACCTGGAAGCTGGGTGGCACGGTGAGTTGATATTAAGGGGATAGCAGAGTAGGGTAGCATAGCAGCGCAGAGCAGGAGGAGATGCATGGGCGGATGATGGACCTGGAAGCTGGGTGGCGAGGAGAGTTGAGAGGAGCGGGGGAGGAATTCAGTGACTGGTAAGCAATAGATGCATGAGCGTGTGATGGGGACAACTGGGCTGATAACGCCCCTGATCCAATCCCCCTCATCCTCTCTCCCTCCCCCGAGCAGAGAAGCTGCGGCAGCAGGATGAGAAGCTGAAAGGGCAGACGGACAGCCAGACAGCTACCTTGGAGTCTGAACTCAGAAGGAGAGTGGAAGCGGGGGAGAGGGAGCATGCAGCGTACCGAGAGATGGCGGACAAGACTATAGAGGCCAAGGATAAGGCGATTGACGGGAAAGACAAGGAGATTGCGCGGCTCTCTGCTGAAGCTGCACGCCTGCAGGAGGCTCTGATTGCTGCTCAGGCTGGTTCTGCTGCTGCTGGTGGCGCTGGTGCTGGTGCTGCTGCTGCTGCTGCTGCTGCTAGTGTGGCTGGTGGTGGTGCCAACAGTGGTGCCGGTGGTGGTGTTGCTGGTGCTGGTGGTGGTGGGGAGGGTGATGGGGTAAAGCTTGCGGGGCTGGGTGCTGCTGGGATGGATGGAGCGGCCAGTCCCAGGAAACCAGCTCTCATCTCGGTGAGTCCACTGCACCGCACTGCACCGCACTCCACCGCACTCCAATGCTGTAAATGCTGCTGGTGGGGAGGGTGATGGGTTGAAGATAGCGGGGCTGGGTGCTGCTGGGATGGATGGAGCGGCCAGTCCCAGGAAACCAGCTCTCATCTCGGTGAGTCCACTGCACAGCATTACACTCCACTCCACTCTGCTGCACTCCTCTCAACTCCTTTCCACTCCTCTCCACTCCACTCCACTCCACAGCATTACACTCCACTCCACTCTGCAGCCCGGTTCTCGGATGTCAGATCCAGGGTTTGGCAAATCACCCTCATCCACTCTCCCCTATCTCATCTTCCTCCTATCCTATCCCATCTCCACATTGACTCCCTCCCCCCACAATCCCCTCCCTCATGCAGCCCGGTTCTCGGATGTCAGATCCAGGGTTTGGCAAATCACCCTCATCCGGCCTACCTCTCTCCCTCGGTGCGTTGCCTCTCTCCCTCGGTGCGTTGCCTCTCTCCCTCGGTCCGTACCCCCTCGCCCTCGCTTTCTGTCCTCCCTCTTCCTTGTTGTCTGGGTCAACTCTTCTTTTTTTGTCACTTCGTCTCCATACACCCTGAGTTTATCGCCTCTCATTACCTGTCTCCTGAAGAGACAACTTTCTGTGAGTTCCATTCCATGTCGTTCATCCATCACCTGTCCGTTTTTAGAAATCTCAAAAAAACAGATCCATCACCTGTCCGTCCTCACCTCCTTTTTCCATCACCTCTGTTTACCTCCCTGATATTACCCCCCCCCTTCCTCCCCCCACCCATGCCATGCCCTCTGTGCATCCACCAGAGGGGATGGGGTTGGCAGACAACCCAGCAGAGAAGGCTGCGATCGCAGAGCAACACATACTGGTACGTCGTGCCCTTGCCACTCCTGCCTCTCTTCCCTCTGCTGCCTCTTTTCCCTCTGCTGCCTCTCTTCCCTCTGCTGCCTCTCTTCCCTCTGCTGCGTCTCTTCCCTCTGCTGCGTCTCTTCCGTCTGCTGCCTCTCTTCCCTCTGCTGCGTCTCTTGTCTCTGCTGCCATGTCATGCCGTGCCACGCTCTAGCTGCATCCACCAGAGGGGATGGGGTTGGCAGACAACCCAGCAGAGAAGGCTGCGATCGCAGAGCAACACATCCTGGTACGCCGGCCCCTTGCCTCTCATGGCTGCCTTGCCTCTCTTGCCTCTCCTGCCCCTCTTGCCTCTGTTGCTTCTGTTGCTTCTGTTGCTTCTGTTGCTTCTGTTGCTTCTGTTGCTTCTGTTGCTTCTGTTGCTTCTGTTGCTTCTGTTGCTTCTGTTGCTTCTGTTGCTTCGGTTGCCTCGGTTGCCTCGGTTGCCTCGGTTGCCTCGGTTGCCTCGGTTGCCTCGGTTGCCTCGGTTGCCTCGGTTGCCTCGGTTGCCTCTGTTGCCTCGGTTGCCTCTGCGCTGATTTCCATCTCCACAACAGTCAATTCAACGCTTTCAAGAATTCACAAAACCTTTTGACCTCTGATCTGTTGCATGTGAAGGAGGATTATTTTTTATTATCATTTTTTTTCCTGAGCTCAGTTCATAAGTGTCTGTCGCCCCTTGTCTTTCTTCCATCCCAACTCAAACCTTTCATCCCACCCTTAACGTTCATCCAGTTCCTTGCGCGGCAGCAAGCACAGGGAGGAGGGAAAGGTTTCTCTGATCTCCCTTTTCCTGAGCCCCTGTTTCTAAGCGTCTATCCCCTTGTCTTCCTTCCATCCCACCTGCACCCTTATCGTTCATCCAGTTCCTTGCGCGGCAGCAAGCACAAAGGGAGGAGGAGGTAGCACAGTGCAGGCGCTTTTCATAGTGTAGTCTTCCCCCCCCCCTTTTCTAAGCGTCTGCCCCTTTGTTGTCCTTTCATCCTTCCCGCACCCTTCACCCTTTCATCCAGTTCCTTGCGCGGCAGCAAGCACAAAGGGAGGAGGAGGTAGCACAGTGCAGGCGGCACATTCAGGCACTGCAGGTACAAACAAAATACACTAAATGTACAATTTATGCATGCTGATATCCATACATAAATGCGTGTATGATACGAGACTGTATGATATGCTTGCCAAAGCCCTGCCTCTCTGTGATTCATTGCACGTAATCCCATTGTGTCCCTGTGCTTGCAATTTTGCGAGGAAAGAGATCATTCAAGTCACCTCTTTTGTGTGTACAAGCCTTTTGATGTTCTATTGTGTGTTACGTTACCCCAGGCACCACCAGGAGGAGATTACAGTCCTGCAGAGGGAGAATCTTTTGTTTTTCCAACACACAAGATTGTAATTACATCTATCTAATGCCTGTGTTTGCCCCTGTCACCACCAGGAGGAGATCACAGACTTGCAGAGGGAGAATCAGCTGAGAGCCAAGCAGGTGGGTGGGTGTTCTGTTGCGTTCAAGTGGGTGCTCTGTTGCATTCAGGTGGGTGCGTTGTTGCGTCCAGGTAGGTGCCTTGTTGCATTCAGGTGGTTCCTTCTGTTGCGTTCATGTGGTGCTTTGTCTCAACCTCCCACCTTCGTCACTGTATTCCATTGGAGTCGTTATTGAGGTATCCAAAACAGTCTGTTTTTTCCGATCTCCCATGTCATGTCCCCGCTTTCCTTCCCCACTTGTTTCTCGTTCAGGAACCCATCTTGACGAAAGAGCTGAGGGGCGTGGAGAGAGCGCAGGAGAGAGGAGGAGTTAATGCATCTAACCCCCTCTTTTCCCCTGCTCCCTCACTCCTTTTCTTCCCGCGTTTGTTCTTGCAGAAATCCGTTTTGAAAGAGGAGTTAAGGAGCATGGAGCGAGCGCAAAAGAGAGAGAATGTCCATCCTGTACCCTCCTTCCCTCCTCCTTTTCCACTCTTCCAGGAATCTGAACTGAAGGAGGAGCTAAGGAACATGGAGAGGGCGCAGGAGAGAGGAGTGCATTCAATTCGACCCTTCTTCTTACGCCCTGCTTCCTCCCTGCCCTCTTTCTTATCTGACCAACCTCCTTCCAGGAATACGTCTTGAAGGAGGAGCTGAGGAACATGGAGAGGGCGCAGAAGAGAGGAGTGCATTCGATTTGACCCCCCCCCTTCCGCCCTGCTTTCTCACTGCTCCCTTCCCCCAATGTTTATCTTCCAGGAATCCGTCTTGAAGGAGGAGCTGAGGAACATGGAGAGGGCGCAGAAGAGATGATTCAAAAGCAACACCCCTCCTACTCCCATTTTCTCTTCTCCCTTCCTCCTCCCTTTCCTCGACTACAGGAATCTGTCTTGAAGGAGGAGCTGAGGAACATGGAGAGAGCGCAGAAGAGAGAGACGGTGGACATGACTTATCTGAAGAACGTGATTCTGCAGCTGCTTATCAGAACAGGTACAAGTGCTTATCTGAACAGGTATGATTTTGCAATCACACAAGGCATCCCACGCCATCCCTGTTGAGATACAACCGATACTTTATTTCTTTGCTCGCTTTATTGCTCACTTCATTTGACAACAAAATAGTTACTTCTGTTCCATCTCTCCAGCTCCTTTCTCTGCTACCTGTCTCCCTCTCTGCCTGACAATCCGACCAGAGGGCAACACTTATTCCTGATATCAACATTCTACTGTAGTTCAGCCGAGAAAACTTGCTCCCCTCTTGCCCCATGTTATCCACCTACCCACCCTACCCTACACCCTGCTTTCCCCACTCTGGGCCCTGCCCCTTTCTCCCTCTTTCCCTCTCACGCCTGTTTCCACCATCAGACAATAATGCGATGCTCGTTTTTGTGGTCAGCATGCTGCTGTAGTTCAGCCCAGACAACTTGTTAACAGAAGTGTTTTGAGACGTCTCAAAACACTTGTGTTTACACGTGACTTCAGCCCAGACAACTTGCTCCCTTCTTGCCCCCATCTCACCCCCTTCCTACCCTGCTCCCCTCCCCATCCTTCTCCCCTCCCTCCTCTGTGCCCTGTCCCTCCGCTCCCTTTGCTCCCTCTGCCTCCCGCCCCTTCTTCCCTCCAATCAGACCAGAGGGCAACCCTCATCCCTGTGATCGGCATGATACTGCAGTTCAGCCCAGACGAGGTGAGCCTAGGCCAGCCGGCACTCCTTTAGAGGCCTTGTTCCCTCGCTCTCTCACTCTGTCCGTACACCCTTTCAAAGGGCGACCCTCATTCCTGTGATCGGCATGATACTGCACTTCAGCCCAGACGAGGTGAGACTAGGGGGGCAAATCAAACAGGCAGGCGTTCTGTTGCGTGCTCAAACGGATGCATATGCCTTGTCTATGCTCTGCCTTTTTCACATGAAAGGCCGTCTGCCTTCCTGCTTTGCAGCCTTACCTTTTTGTGATGTGACTCCCTGTTGTGTTGCCACACCTCGGATCCTGTGCAATTGCCGAGGATTGTAACTCGAGTTTTGAGCTGGCTCGAAACTCCTGCTCTCTCAATCTTACCTTGTGACGATGCAACACCCTGTTGTGCTGCTTGCTACACCTTGTAATGATGTCACTCCCCATTGTGTCGCCACACCTCGTAATGTGTGCAGTTGAAACAGTGCCGAGGATCATGACACTGTTGACCTGACACGACGAGCATAAGAATCTTGACGTTACAGCTGGTGACCTCGCATCAGGCATATCGTCTGGCATCGTGACCCTTGGCATAAGGCATGTGATGTGGGATGGTGTCAATACACGTGGCATGAGAAGAATACAATGAATATGGTCAGATTTGGCCCAGTCATTCTGTGTGAAGGACCATTGACATAGAAGCATTGGGGGAAACTACCGCATTCAATTGGCTGTTTGCAGGGCAAATCAAATCCCCTGAATTTATCATTGCGTCGTTACCCTAGTGACTTGGTATTCTGCAGTTACGGATTTGTTTACATTCACATGCTGTCATTTTACGCACTTACGTTATTGCCCTCAAGATCGTACAATTGGTGAAATTCAGTATAACGAGGGTTTAGGTAACGAGGTCGCTTATGCGCGCGCGTGATTGCATCCACGCTCCTGCGCAGACGCGCGTTAGCTTCTAGCAAGATTCCATCTCCTGTTAGCAATTTTTTCAACTAGAAAA